ATATCCAAAGTTCCCAAAATAGAAATGCAGTGATTGCATTTAGAAATAACCTAATGGGGAAATACCAAACACGTTTCTTGAACACTTAAACATTCCCAACTCAACAACAGAATAAAGGAAAATCATTTTCTCGCCGTGTAGAAGAGTGCGTGACCTATTTTACTTATTGCTGCCCCTTTACAGAATATACAAAATGATTTTCTGTTGATGTAAGAATAAGAATACCTAGCCGAATACTTTAAACTTTCGATACTCGTTTGTTTACCTTCCAAAACGACTTCTTTTTCTCTGTGTAGAAGGGGTGTATGGGGTTTTTTCCCTGTTTTTTTTTGTGTGTTTTTTTTCTGAATGCCTACTCCATAAACAGAGAAACGAGCGACAACGAAGCGAGGCTGAGAAGCCTATGGAGAATTGGGAGCGATGACAGTATGATGGTATTATATTATGGTGACCACAACGATGACGATGTCGCCTGGTGTAACTGCTGTGCGTGAGTGTTTGTGAGTGGTGTGGGTGTGGGAGTGGGTGTGGGTGCCAGGGAGTCACCCACTACTTTAAAAACTAGATGGGATGAACCAGGGGCCTCCAAACTAAGCATTTAATCCATTGAGTCAGGAAATATTGAGCAGGAAGTGCAGGGATTACTACTATTTATTTTTATTTTTTATATTATTTTATACTATTTATTTTGATATACTATCAATATTATCTATTTCAATATATCAATACATATACAATCTATTTCGATATCTCAATATCGATACAATCTATTTCGATATACTGAATACTATCAAAAGTACTATTATTACTATCTAAGGAATACTGCCTAATAATTAAGAATTGGAATAAGTTTATTGACATACATAAACTTTCAGAAAGAACTAGATTTATGATATCTCTTACTCGTAAATCTCTCAATCTTCAAGTTATAGATAGACCTTTATATTGACCATAAAACTATTTAATATCTTTCGTTATTATAGCGATAATTATTCACCAGTTTTTATCTTTTATCCCCCGTAAGTTGTGCAAATTAATCGCTTCAATAAATCTGATTATCAACTAAAGGGAAACGGTTAAAAGTGATTGGGCGGGGTGAATACCCTCCAATTAATATGGATTTCTCAATTCTCAATGAAAACTCTTTCACTTTCGAATGGAATGGCCCGCCGCCGAATGAAATCTTCAATTCAGTTCAAGCAGGTGGTTGTGTTGTTATAATAAAAATAAAAAAGTAGGGGGGGGCTTACAAACAATTCAAAACAACTGCAACAATGTAACTGTCCAATAGACACGCTTCAGATACTCTTGGTCAGAAAGCAAGACAGAAAGATAGAAGAATGAAAGTTTCGCACCCGAGAAGAAAGCAAAAAAATAAAAAAAAAACCAGGGGGGGGTAAGATTGGGCGGCCAGGTGAACAATTATGACATAGAGCGTTGAGTTGGCGACGATATATGTAAAAAAACGAAATTAAATCCATAGGAAAGCAAAAGTGCAGAATGGCAATTGTGTAAGTGAAAAGCAGAGAGCACAAAGCACAAAGCACACAAAATACAAAACACTAAACAGTTTAAAGAAGCCCACAATCGAGTTGACATAAACAAACATTTGTGGGGGCTGCCCCAGGGGGGGTGAGAGGGAAAGCGGGAAATCGGGAAAGCGCCATGTCATACGTGACCATAGATCCAACAAATCCAACAATGGCCACCGGCCACAGGTACATAAACCCAGTCAAGATTTCACTCGGGCGCCACTGAAAACCATCTGCCCACCACACATAGAGATTAAATCCATTAAAGCTTGGTCAAGATACGATGACTTTCCCAACTTTATTCAACTCTGACCCCAAAGGGATCTCTTCATTCGAAAGTTTTACCTTTCAACTTTTGTTTCCAACTTCCTCAAGTGCAATTCTGAAATTTCATAGCTTTTCGGGTAATATTTATCAGTTCTATGAAGATTATAAAAGATTATACCAAATATTTATTAGATCTCTAGTTATAAAAACTAATAGATCTACCACCTTTATTTGTTTGGCCCAAACATGGGTCCATTAGTTGAATAACTCAGCTACACAGGCAAAAGTTCTATTTATACTCAAACATTGCCACTTGCCATTTTCCCTTTGACTCGGCCGCTATCTCTTTTAATCGCTGCTCATTTCAATTAAATAATTTTCAACTCGAGCGAGTCTAAAGACCGTATATATACATGTACCTATATATAATGAAATAAAGGCATCTGTCGGCGGACACTCACTTGGTCAATTAAGAGCTTTTTAAGGCCCTTCTTCTTCGGTCGCTGGCTCGCTTAAATGGCAAAAATGGAACAGAAATTGAACCAGAAACTGAAACTGAATAGAACCAACTGTACTGTAGAGAGACGCACGCCCCCAATGGATTTTTCTTTAAGGTCAGGGTCAGGAGGCAATCGAGCCAATTCCCGGTAACCATTGACCTGCCATCTCGCATCGCATGTCACCTATCAGCCGCAAGCGGACGCATATTATTCCCAGGAATCGGAATCGAAATCGAAATAGGAATCGGAATGGGAATGGGAATTCTCCTTTGACCAGGATACTCTCCATTCTGCATGCTCCATTCGCTTCCGTTTGGTGTCCTGGCCACAAAGCCATCAATTCCCGACACTTGTTCCCCCCTTTGTTTGGCCTGAATGCGAATTGCGAATGCGAATGCGAATTGCGACTGCCACTGCGAATGTGACAAACAAACCGCTCGGCAAAATGTTTATTCTTTGAAAATCTCTTTTCAGCCCCAGCACATGTGTATATTTTCAAAGGAAAAACAGTAGTATAAAAATCAAGGTGGTAAATGCAATTTTTCTGCTTGTTATTTTTTTTTTTCTTTTATTTATATCCTTGTACATTTGTTTCCCACTAAATGCTGAACTTATTTCAACAAAAAGGCGCTTTTCGTGAAATCACCTAGCATATGCAATATTTATAGGGAGTTTATGGTGCTAATGAGAAAGAGTTATTGATTTATGGTGGGCGTCCCCGATGTACGGAAATAATCTAGTATTTCCTGCGGCTTTTATAACTATTTATAAATATTTGAACAGCTGGTTGTGGCTTGATATTTTCCGATTGATTTATTTTATTAGTAACTTAAACAAAAATACTAGAAATACTAGTATCCTTTCTTAAGTAAGCAAACATTGGGAAACAAATAAATATTAATAAGGCTACCTAGATTTTCTCACGGTGCAGTTGCCTTCATTTATCTAAATTCGAGTTGCGGCAACAGGTGACTAGTCAACAGCTTCCCCCTCTTCTCCTCCTTTCTCCCTTCTCCCAGTTAGAAAGTGCAGTGAAAGCCAACACGAAATTGTTCAATCAACAACAATTAAACAAAACCCTTTTCATGTATACAAAATTCCCATTTACATTTGCATTTACATATCCATCTCTCGCCAGTTAGAGAATGTTTTCATTCGTTTGCGGCATGCCAAAATGTCGTAGGCAAGCACATCGTACAGATATATATATATATATATATAGGTATGTATATATCCCAAATGCTGGCAATCCCAACAATGTGGACATGTGTTGACGCAGACATGGAGACGGGCGATTAGATTAGATACTGACGAGGTGGGCGAGATATCCGATCGGGTTAGGAACATCCAACGACCACAACTGCGGCAGTACAATATCTAGACTATAATATCTGGGGAGCCAGAAAGTCGGACTATATCGGTTTTATGGCCCAGCATCCTGTTCTAATCAATATAAATACCTCTATCTGATATATAAAACTACCAACTATACTCGAACGATCCACTAAAATCCATACTATCCTTACTATAATTTAAATATTAAAGAGAAACAGGAAAAGGAATATAATATAGTAGAGTTAGTAAGACTTATTTCCATTCATTTTCCTTTATGATACATTTGAAAGGGTTTCCCCTACTTCAACTGAATCACTTCCCTCTTCCGTTTCAATGTAAAAACGTAATATATCTCAATAAGTGTGTTGCCCAATTTATCGGCAATTGATTCATCTTCTGCCTGGGATTCTGATCAATTTGGCAATTTAAGCGATTATGCTCGCCTAATTTGAGGCAATTGCAATTGCAGCCAAGCTAGCCGAGAATGAGAATGAGAATGATAAAAATGATGATTTGTCCGTAGTGGCCATTATTCTATTATCTCGACCAACGATCGCATTCCACATCGGCATTCCGCAGAGCTATCTCTATATATTTATAAGTATAGCTATCTCTGTCCCGAGCTCAAGGCCATTTACACATTCAACTGGAACTGAAAACTACTGGCAAACTGGAAACGGAAAACTGAAATCTCAAATTGTTCTGTTTGTTTGTTGAAATTGCACACAAAAATGCACATGAAACAAAAAGTAATCTAACAAGATCTATTAGTTATTTATGTTTGGATCCCATTTCATGACTTTGATCTTGAAACTTATCTACATAAGCACTCTGTCTTAAAAAGGGTTATCAAGTTGGATGGTTCTCGTGATAAGAGAGTTGATAAATTAGTTTGTTAGCCCTTGAATTTCGGATGTTTAAAATAATTATTTAAGCAAGAAATTCAAATCCCACCTTTGACACTAGCTAAGACTGTCGGGACAAATAGTAGTTATAAAGAAAGCGCGGTGATGGAACCCGTGTATTTTTAAAAAAACACCTTATCTAGCTATTCGTAAATCCAGATAACAAGCTTGCAGTTCTTAGCACCTGGGATTATTTTACTATTTTACTATATGCAAACATAATTAAGCCACTAGATGGTAGTAGAATACAATTGCAAGTAGAGATAGAGATAGACAAAGCGAATAAAATTCATTAGTCATCAAGGTAAATACAAAAATAATGGTTTTTTAATGGGAAAAAATATTATATAGTACCTATTATATTATTATTATTTATTTTTCTTTTAATCCCGATATTAGGGATCAATATTTTGATATTGGCTCTATTTTTTTCCTAGTGCCCACTCATTCATGATACGTACGCATACTGATGGCTCCATTCAGGCGCTGATCGAGTGGCGTCAAGGGGGTCGAGGGGGTTGTAGCCCCCATCCCATTTGCAATCCCCATTCCCATGTCCATCATCGCATCATCGGCACTGGCAGCACGATTAAAGGGTCGCGGTTTGCGATTTTTGAAGCGCAGGCGCAGCTCCGTGTTGAGAACTCGCATTTTGTTGACCGGGAAAACGGCGGAAATAGATGGAAATAGATGCTACACAAACACACACTATCACACACCTCCTCCTCTATAAAGAGGGGATCGGGGATCTTTCTGGGCGGGCCTTTTGTTATTGTTTAACTGGGAATTGGAGCAAACGCATCAACGACTCCAACTCAATTTGTGGCCCGCATCGATCGCTTTTCGATCACTGATCACTGATCTGATCGCACAATCAAGCACTCGAAAAAAAAACTGAATGAATCAATGATTTCGGGGATCGGGAATCGCCCCTATATGATATCACACACAAGTGTGGGGCAAATGCGAATAACGAATCACGAATCACGAGCTTTTCATTTGTACAACTTGACTCGATATTTGATATTTCTGTTTCCGCAGCCACACACCGATGTTGTGAAAATTTCGCGTGCGACTGACTGACCGAGCTGAGCCACCCAACTCAATTCAACACAATTCAACCCAACCCAGCGAAACCCAGCGACCGAGCGAACCACTGAGCGGTAAGCGGTAAGTGGCTGAGCGGTGAGAGGTGAGCGGTGAGCGGTAAGCGGTGAGCGGTAAGCGATGAGCTGCGAGCGTACAACTTTTACAATCTAATCGCGCGACCACTGGGCAAAGGCAGAGCTGACAGTCTGGCTACTTTCCCAGCCCCACCTGCTATCGAAAGCTCTAAAAGTGATAATAGTATTTATTTGCATATTATAATATCATATAAGATGTATTAGGGCCTAAAATATATATCTTTAAAGTCATCCTAGCTCACATTTGATATAATATGATTAGAATACCTTAAATAATCTATACAGCCCCATCTTAACCCTAAAAATCCAAGAAATAAAGATATTGTTAAATCATATTACTTATAATATTATATGGGAATTCATTAATTAGGAATTAATAATGTTCTTAAAGTATTACCCTAAAAACTAATAAAATTGAGATAATATCTGCCAGCTGTTGTTGTTGTTTTTTTTTCTTTTTTTGACCTACTGAAGAGCCCTTAGCGAATGGACGCGAGTGTGACACCCAGTGACTGTTATCATCGTCAAGGGGCTCTTATCAGGCCAATGGAAACATTCAAGTCAGCTGGCGACTCTTAGATTTTGCACTCGCTAAAAAAAAAGGTAAACACCGAACGGACTGCCGAGCACACAAAGAATGACAGACGTTGTCCAAAAATGTGTTGGGTTTTCAAAAATGAGAATTAGCATACAGTCTAAAAAAATCAACAACAGTGAAACCGAAACAATCGAAACCACACACATAAAATACTTGTTTTTTATATAGATTCCAGAATTTAATAATAAAATATTTTCGAAAATATTTATTTCCTTCAGTGTTCCGTAACATCCTGTTTATTTGGACCTTAAGCTGTATTAAGTACAAGGAAAATGAGCCAAAACTCAGATGAAGGGCAAACTCACTTTTCACTAGGCAGCTAAGCAACAAGTTGGAATGCATTTTCCTCGAAATCGGAGCTCTGCTCATTAATTAAAAGCAAAGAGTTGCCGAGCTGCCGAGCTGCTGAGCTGCATTGAACCAGAATCAACAGGATAATGGTGAAGCAAACAAAAGTCCAATTAAAATGGAAGCTAGACGGCAGGAATTGCGATTTCCCGGAATTAATTAAAATGGGAACGGGATAGGGGATAGGGGTTAATATGCATTTCCAACTATACCGCCCACGCATTGTGCAAACAATAATTAGAGAGTCCATCGTATTGCTTACATTTTCACTTAGACAGAATCAACAGGATAACGATAATGCCAAGGTGAAGCTGTAAATTCCGGGAACCAATTAAAATTCGTAAAGTCAATATGCGTTGCAAATCGCAGTTGCCACTTGATTTGGGCGAAATCAACAGGATAATGCCATAATGCCAAATCAAACAGAGCGTTTTCATAATTATTTTGGCATTTAATTAAGGTGGCCAGCAAAGTGCCAAGCAGAAGTTCATGAGCGCAATTGAAATTGCAATGGCAATTGCATTTTCCTGGAACCAGAAATCAAGAGCTGCCTGCCCGCCTTCACCGGAATCAGCAGGATATTAATAGATGAGGGTGAATCCCGACAAAGGACCAAATGAAAGCGCTGCAGTTAGTAGAATTTAATTAATTTGTGAAAAAGGTGGACGATTGTACAGTTTCCCGGGAATCAACTACGCTCTGCCGCCCACTCACAAAGGACCATGGCCATGGACCATGGCATATCCATTTCATCTGGCCAAAGCACAAATGATTTGGCTGGCATAGACAAAGGCCGGCCAAAACCGAAGCCAGCGGTTTGAAGACAAGTGATTATGCCTCTCTATATGGCTCGAAATCGAAAAGTGCACGAATATAGTCAGCGCACCATGGGGAGTACTTTCCCGGAAATCGGATATTTGACGAATTTTTGACCATTCAAAATCTTTCTTCGAGGAAAATCAGCCTTCTGTGATTTTTGGGAAATAAAAGTAGATAAATACTTCCTTTTAAGTAGATTTTTAGATTTAAATAGAAAGTAAGTAATAATTATTTGATGAAATACTAAAATACTAAATTGAGAATCTTAGAAATAGTCCTATAAATGAGTTTTAAAAATATCCATAAAATATCCAACGTGGAAAGTGATTTTTGGGAAATAAAAGTTGATAAATACTGCCTTTTATAACTAGTGATTTAAGTGGAAAGTAAGTAATAATTATAATCTAGAGATCCTTAATAATAGAGTCCTTCAAATGCGTTTTACAAATCTAAATAAATTGGTAGTTTGAAATATATGCAAATTGCGATTTTTACTCAAATACTTTAAAATGCTTGCCTACTTTTTAGCAAAACCCCAACACAATTCATAGTAAGTTAACTTAAACCAATATTCACAGGACTATTGTGAGAGGTATGCAAACAATGATTAATTTGAATTGCTAATTTCCGGGAATCAATCAAAACGAGGTAAATAATTTGAGGCATGATTATGATGGCTTTTAACCAATATGCATTTTCCTCGAACTTCCATTTAATTAAACCAATTTGCACAGGACAACAAAAACAAGGCCCGAATGCAATTGAATAATTCGGGGAATTAATCAAAGATATGCCAGTTTTCAGGGGGGTTACCATACCATTCGATAATGAAATCAGGACAATAGGATAAATTTCAAGTGAATTTGGGAGGAATTTCGGGAGGTGGGCGGCGATTAGGAGTGGAAATATGGGAAGAGAAAGTGGGAGAGGGAGAGAAAGAGGAAAATTAAAATGTTTCTCCTCCAGTGCTTCACACTTCTGGAAGAGGCGCAACTGCAACTGCAGCATCTAAAAGTCTAAAAATAGACTTGTTGACAGCTCCCAAAACGAGCAGCAGCAGCAACAACAACAAAAGGCGTGGGAGGAGGATGAGCTGGAGGAAGAGGAAGAGCGAGAAGGGGAGCAGAAGCAAAAGCAGAAGGAATGTGTGGAAAGGAAAGGCAAATGCAAACGGTAAAGTGGAAACTAAAAAAGCGACTCCTTCGCAAAACGAAGAGAGCGCAGGCGAGAGTTTATAATATAAATACTAACCGATTTTCTGCAGTATATTCATGGTGGGGCCGTCTGCTTTCGCCAGGATTCACAGATTCTCCTCTGGGCAACGGAGGAAATGCTCATTCTCCTTTTTCGCCATAGCCGAAAATACAACACAAAAAAAAAAACACACACACACTCTTCTCCTTCTCTTTCTCTCACACGCACATTTTCAGTTCTCCGCCTGCTGCGTTGTTGTTGGTGTATCGCTCACACACACAGTACTGTATTTTTATTTGATATTTCGTCCCGTCTCGCTCTGACCACACACATCTAATCTAAGCGGGTGTGTTTACGATCCGCCTGGCATGTTCACTGAAAACCGAAGCTCAATCGAAACTCAATTCGCACCGCACTTTTGGCCGGCGTTTGAAACAACACCCGTTCGGAGGCGAGGCAACAAAAAAAATACAAAAAAATAACAATACAATTTGAAACGCGCAACACAACAACAAAATGCGTTGAGTAGCTGTTCCAGCCAGTGTGCCCGTGGCGCAGTGCGGCCGAAAACCCTTGCGGTGTGCGTGCCAATGGCGTAGTGACGAATGCTGAGTGTGCTCGACTGAGCTATCGATATTTAGCGGGGTCACGCTCCACTTTAGCGAGGACACGCTCCGGCACTGTGATTTTACTGATTTCACTATAGTCTATAACTAAAATAAATAAATAAAAAAACTCTAAATAAATGTTATTTACTTTTTGACAACGTTGGTTTTTTTTAATTTTATTACCCAAATGTTTGGAAAAAAACACTAAATATTGTGACTTCCTAGAACATTTCAAAACTATCAAAACTTTTTTTTCGAGTACACAGATTTTTCCAATCTCAACATTTCTACAACGTCAAATTGAGATATTTTTTAATTTAATTTATTTTGGTTTTATCCCAGTGCTACAGGCTAGGTGAAGCCTTTTAGTTATTGGCACCAGTCACTTTGGGTACAATATTTTGACATTAATCATTTTGTTTTACTTGCTAAAATTATAAAATCTTCAAAGTAAACATTTTTTGTACAATTAAAAAATTTAAAGGGTAATCATTTGAAAAACAAAAAATTAGAACGTACAGGAAGTTGAAATATTTCTAATTTATTGTACATGCTCGAAATGAACTGATTTTTTGCAATTTAGTGGGAACTATCGATAGTTTGAGATTTTTTAGGGTTAAGCCTAACTTCGATCTGGCAACACTGCGACGTGAGGCCACCTCCAGCCATTCATTCCATTCATTCCTGCAGCGAAGAGTCAAGCGAGCTCCAAGTTTTCAGTTCTCGGAAATGTGCGTCAGGGAAGCGGCCACTATTCTGTTCGCGGAACCCGAACTGGTGCTCGGCCATGGCCGCAGGGTGCTGTTCGTGAACCCCGACGACCTGCAGATATTCAAGGAGATCGAGCTGCCGCCCGACCTTGGCCTGAAGAGCGATTCTGCCCGGGAATCCTCTGCAGCTGCAGCAGCGGGCCCTTCTTCGGGCGGCAAGGAGCAACAGCTGGCCAAGGAGGCGGGAGGATCCGGATCCGGATCCATACCGGGCAACTCCACCGCTCTGGTGCAGAATGTGGCCTACTCCCCGGACGGACAGCTGCTCGCCGTGACCACCAGTGGGGGCCAGAAGGCTTTGCTGCTCTATAAAATGCGCCCGGAGAACGCCCGCCTGCTCTCCGCCCGCCCACTGGCACGGGCGGCCAGCGCGCTGCGCTTCTGCAGCGACAGCAGCTCCGTTTTGGTCACCGACAAGACGGGCGACTGCTATCAGTACGACTGCGTCGAGGCGGAGGCCACTCCGCGCCTGCTGCTCGGCCACCTGAGCGTGGTGTACGACATTCTGTGGTCCGAGGACCAGCAGCACATCATCACCTGCGACCGGGACGACAAGATACGCGTGACCAACTATCCCGCCACCTTCGACATCCACAGCTATTGCCTCGGCCACCGGGAGTTTGTCTCTGGTCTAGCGCTGCTCTCGGATCGGCACATTGTCTCTTCGTCGGGCGACAAGACGCTGCGCGTGTGGAACTTCATCCTGGGCAAGGAGCTGCTGCAGCACGAGCTTCCCGCACCGGCGGTACGTCTCCAGGTGCGACAATTGGAGCCGGAGAAGGTTTACCAGGCGGCCGTGCTCTTCTACGACCATGTGGATGCCTTGGGGCTGTATCGTTTGGAGCGCAGCTCCTCCGAGGACGAGGACAAGTGGAGCGTGACGGCCAGCCAGTTGGTGCGCGCAGAGGCGGGCTCGTGGAGCATAAGCAACTTTACTTTAACCGCCGATCGGATCTATGTCACGGGAGCCGAGGATCAGCGATTGAGCCTGCGGGTCTACGACATCGCCACGGGTCAGCCGGTCACCAGTGGAGTGCCCGAGGGCTGGCTACAGATGGTGCTGGAGGGGCTGGGCGCCAACGAGGCGCCTTTCGTGCCCGAGGATCTGTCCGTTTGGTTCAAGAAGCGCTTCGACAACGTCAGCGACTATTTGGAGCGCAAGAAGCGGCGCATCGAGGAGCAGCAGCAGCAGAAGTGCGGCTAATCAACCCAAAAAGGGAAATTTAAATCTTTACATAGCATTTAATTAGCATATGGAGCAGCAGAGCAGCATCTAATATATATATCTGTATATGTGTGTAAAAGTGGTTTATCTCTATGGGCGGGCGGTTCTTCCCTCTCCTTTAGACGGGCTTGTAGTCCAGCTTGCTCTCCAGCTTCTTGTTGTCCGACACCTTGCGCACCGCCTTCATGAAGTCCTCCTGGATGACGTACTCCCGCTCGGCACTAAATTAAATGAGATAGTTAAGAGAAAAGCCACCAAAACAAGCAGATAAACCTCACCGAATGGCAAAGAGACCCGCCTCCGTGCACACATTACGCAGATCGGCGCCATTGAAGTTGTCCGACAGCTTGACAATGGCCTCATAGTCAATCTCTCCATGCTTGGCGATCTTCAGAGCGTGGATCTTGAGGATTTCCAGCCTTTAAAAATAGATAAATTAGCAAGTAAAGGGATACGACCCAAGAAAGACAACCCACCTCGCCTGCTCGTTGGGCAGCGGAATCTCGATCTTCCTGTCCAGGCGACCCGGACGCAGGAGTGCCGGATCCAGGGTGTCCGGCCGATTGGTGGCCATGATCATCTTCACCTGGCCGAGCGAATCGAAGCCGTCCATCTGGTTGAGCAGCTCCATCAGCGTGCGCTGGATCTCGCGATCGGCGGAGGTGCCCTCGGAGAAGCGCCGCCCGCCAATGGCGTCGATCTCGTCCATAAAAATGATGCAGGGCTGGTGATCGCGGGCATAGTTGAACATCTCGCGAATCAGGCGGGCACTCTCGCCGATATACTTGTCCACGATGGCCGAGGAGACGACCTTCAGGAAGTTGGCGTCCAGCTGGGAGGCAACAGCGCGGGCGAGGAGCGTTTTGCCCGTGCCCGGCGGTCCGTAGAGCAGGCAGCCCTTGGGCGGCGTGATGCCGACGCGCAGGAAGAGCTCCGGATTGAGCAAAGGCAGCTCAATGACCTCGCGCAGCTCGCGAATCTGCTCGGTGAGGCCGCCGATGGCCGAGTAGGTCACATCGCCGGGATCCTCGTGCGACATGTTGTACACCAGGGGATCCACTTCGCGCGGCAGGTAGCGCATGATGGTCAAAGTGGTCATGTCGAGGGCCACACGGGTGCCCGACTTGAGCTTCGCTTTGTCCAGCTGCCGGCGGCAACCGACCACGTAGCGCGGTCCATTGGTGGCCTTCACAATGACTGCAGGAAGGGATTGGAGCAAGGGAAATTACAATATTCGAACAGGAATCCAAGGGAATCTTACATTTATCCTCGGTCAGCTGCTTCAGCACCTCGCCCACAATCTGTCCCACGCTCTGCAGGGCCTTTAGGTCGTTCTCCGACTTGTCGTACAGCTTGGTCAGCTCCTTGATCTCCTCGCGCTCTGAAAATAACCATTTAATCGAGATTTCTCGAGGGGATTAACTAGGTAAACGCACTTTCTTTGAGGCGTCCCTCGATCTCCTTGTGCTCCAGCAGCTTCTTTCGGTAGTCGGAGAAGGCTTTCACCCGCAGATTGTCGGGCAGCGGCGTGGCGGTCACGGTCATCTTGTTGGCGGATTTACTTTTGCTACTTTTGCTTAAATTCAATTCAATTAAATGCCCAAAGTTTCGGTAGTGAATTGCAGTTTTTTGTGTAGTGCAGTGTGGCGATAGCGATGAAAATACCAAGCGGCCCGGCAAGAAATACTAAATACTAGTAAGTCTTGGGAAATACCAATTAAATACCACTCAGTTGAAGAAATAAATTAATAATATAAACTGTACATTATAAAAAGAATACAACTTATATTTGATAATTATTAATATTAATTTATTATTCTTTATATTTAATAATTAATAATTTGTTTAATTAGCCATGCAACCGTTAAAGGAATACCCTTTATAACCGACTACCCTATATTTTGGTATATACCGAATAACCGGCGAAATTCTTATAGCCAAAATAGAGTTCCATTATAATGTATAATCTCCGTTTGCTGCGGCAAATCCTGCCCAGCGCCGGTCACGCCCACCCCGCCCACCTCCGCCCCCGGTGGCTGGCCAGCCAGCACAAGCGGCGCCCCCAGCCGGGCAGCCTGCCGCCCGATCGGCTGGAGCAGCTGCGCAGCGATCTTCTCGAGCGGCGCCAGGAGCTCAGCGGCGAGGAGTGGACGGAGGTGCGCCAGTCGCTGGTGGACACGTACAAGCACATCAACGGGCGCAACGTGGACGCCGTCATCCTGGGCGTCTGCAGTGGTCCCCAGCAGCTGCCGCTGGCCAAGAACTATGTGGAGTTCCTGAGGAGCAGCGGTTCCCGGCCGAATGCAGCCACCCTGGGTCGCCTGCTGAGGGTCTACAATGCGGCCTACCACGCGCGACCCCTCAGCCGGGAGGAGCAGGCCGAGATCCTGCTGATCTGTCGGGATCTGCAGGCGGAGCACGAAACTCTGGACGCCACCAGCTGCGAGCACATCATCCACGGCCTGGTGGCCATGGATAGCAGCGATTGGCGGAGGGCACTGCCCCTGCTCGAGATGATGAAGGTCACCACCAGTGCGCCCAGCGTTGCCGCCTACTCGGCGCTGGCGGAGAAGGCCTTCAGTGTGGAGCAGCAGGAGCAGGAGGATCTGGAGCTGGCCTGGCGCCTGCTGGAGGAGATGGCCCTGGCCCGCAAGCTGCCCAAGTGCGAGGTCTACCTGGCACTCCTCAGCCGCCTGGATAGGCTACCTGCCCAGCTCAAGCTTCTCCTCGAATTCCTCGAGCGCCACGAGATCCTGGTGAGCCAGCGGGTGGCGGAGCGCTTCAAGGAGCTGGCCCAGCAGGTGCCGCATCTCCTCGAGGCCAGGGCCACCAGCCTGGGGCCGCTGGGCAGGTGCCAGGCATGCCAGCAGCACCTCCAGCCGGTGGCCATCGGCGATGAGCAGTTCCGGGCACTAAGAGATTGCTTCCTGGAGCGCGTGCTCATCCGGCGCGACGTCTTCCAGCGATCCACGCCCGCCGAGGTGGCCAGGTTCAAGCAGTACGTGGAGCGGACGGCGCCCTACGACTGTGTGATCGATGGCCTCAACGTGGCCTACTCCACGGGCACCAAGAAGTCGCCGCAGCAGCTAGCCAAGCTGGTGGCCACCGTGGTGCGGCACTTCCGGGATCGGGACAAGCGCGTCCTGGTCCTGGGACGCGAGCACATGCGCCAGTGGTCCAAGCAGGCCATGCACTACGTCCAGAGCAACGCCAGCCTCTTCCTCACCAGCAATCTGTAAGCTATATATTATATATGCATATTAGAGCCCTGCTAACGTGATCCACTTGATCTGATCTAAAACCCCATGACTCCTCTAGGCTATAGCTCTTGTTAATCACAGAAATAACTATATTTTTATTTTTGCAAAGGCAGGATAAATATTTTTTGTATGGTAGAAGATCCTGAAGAATTTGCGAACTATTTGACCTAAAGAATTTGCGAATTATTTGACCTGAAGAATACCCGAATCACTCGACGCGAAGAATTCGCGTATTATTTGACCTGATGAATCCGCGTATTATTTGACCTTAAGAATACCGAACCATTCGACGTGAAGAATTCGCGGACTATTTGACCTTAAGAATACCTGAATCATTCGAAGTGAAGAATTCACGGATTATTTGACATGAAGAATTCGCGGATGATTTGACCTTTAGAATACCTGATTATTTGACATGAAGAATTCGCGCACTATTTGACACATAGCTGAAAATGTATCTTAATTATCACCATGATAATTATAAATTAGGAATAAATATTTTTCACAAAATCAACTTTTTTATGTTGACTATGAACCCTATGAGCTACTAGGTGAGCTTTACCAGTCAGCCGATGAGCTATAGGATTCATGACTCAAAAAACATAGATAGATCGACTGGCTCATGAAATCAAAGGGAGCTACGACTCTACTCATGCAGGGCTCTAATACATATATATGCACCAGAAAGAAAGAGACAGACTAACTACCCAGTTTATTCCCCCACAGATCGCACGACGATCCCTTCCTGCTCTACGCCACCCTTCGCAGCGGCCAGGAGACGGATTTCTTCTCCCGCGACCTCATGCGCAGCCATGCCTTCCATTTGGGACCCGAGCTGAAGCCCATCTTCCGCCGCTGGCAGCAGGAGCACCAGTTCTCGCTGGTCACCCAAACGCAGACGGGCCGGATAATCGTGAAGGAGCCCATCCGCCACCGGCTGAGTGCCCACCAGGTGGGAGGCACCTGGCATGTGCCCTACTGCGAAGCGTACACCCAGCATCCCACGGACAGCTTCGAGGTGCCCGCCAACTGGCTGTGCCTCCGGCTGAAGGAAAACACTCTTAGGGATAAGCAATGATAGCCAAATATATATATACTGGATGAGTCATCCTAATCGCAATCGTAGCGGGTGCACTTCTCGAAGGCTCCAATGGCCTGCGCCTGCGAAGGCTTCATCTTGCGCCTGCGCTCGTACAGCAGCTTCTTCTCGGCGGCGCACATGAGCCGCCGCTTGATGTGGTTGTCCATCTCGAAGTCCATGTCCGCCGGTCTAGCCAGCTCATTGGGATCCCTGGTGGCCGCCGAGTCCAGGGCCTTGATGATCAGGCTGAGCAAAGCGTGGGCCAGGCGATGGCACACATCGTACTCGATGGCATCCTGGCTGGTGTAGTAGATGGCCGACTGCGAGGCGGGCTGCACGCCGATGGCCAGCAGGATGTTGCAGAAGATGCCACGCTGCATGCGGGCATACGGATCGACCAGCTGCGGCGGAATGCGCATCGTGGTGGCCAGGTGGGCGATGAACTTGGCGAACTTCCTGATGAGCACGTTCAGGTACTGGGTGCGGCACTGCCGCTCCAGCTTGGTCAGCATGCTGTAGTACAGCTCCTGCTTGCGCTTCAGCAAGTTCTCCTTCTTGCGCTCCTTGGTCTTGTTGCTCTTGAGGATCTCCTCCAGCTGTCTGTTGGATATGCACGGAAATGAGTATGGGCATCGGATGCACCTGACTGTAGTGTTGGGTTGCTCATGGGTGAATGAACAAAAAAGAGTTGCTCACTAAACTGAACTCTTTATTGTTCACTTGTTCATTTTTGCTCACTTGCTCTTTTTTGTTCCCTTGTTCATTTTTGCTCTCTTACTTGCTCTTTTTTTTTACTTGTTCAGTTTGGCTCTCTTATTTGATCTTTTTAGTTAGTTTAGTGAGCAAGTAAGCAAGTGAACAAGTGAGCAAGTGAACAAGTTAACAAGTGAACGAGTGAACAAGTGATCAAGTGAGCAAGTGAACAAGTGAGCAAGTGAACAAGTGAGGAAGTGAACAAGTGAGCAAACTGAGTGAGTTCACTTCATAGGTAAAAAAAAGAACAATTGTTCACCCAAATGAATACCCAACACCACCTGACCGCACTTACTCCGTGGTGATGGCATTGTACTTGCCCAGCATCCGCTTCATCCGCCTGGCCCGCAGCCCGGGGTCGTAGACGTCCTTGAACTGCTCGTAGTTGTCGATCAGCGTGTGCAGCTTCGGCTTGGACAGGGCCACGTCGTAGGGCTTCGCCTTGGGCGGCATGGCCGGCTGGTAGGCCATGCGGCGCACGTAGGACTGCAGCCTGGCCAGGTTCTCCGCCTGCCGCCGCCTCACGTTCTCCTCGGCGCACACATCCGGGTCCTCCTCCGCGGGCAGCGAGTCCGTCGACGTCGGCAGCGGCTCATCCCAGTCGGACACATTGGAGCTGGCCATTGGGATTTAGGGTGGCCCAGTTAATTTTAAAAATTTGTGCGTTTTTCAAACGGAATAATTTTCTGAACACTTTTTTTCGTACGTAAAATTTTGGAAAAACGAGAGCACTAACAATTTGATGTATTCGCGTTGGGAAAGCTGAACACCTTATGAGCAGTCCCAGTTGAAAAGGCTGCGAGGGGAATCTTCCGGACTACTAGACTGGAGGTTTTAGAGGGGAATTTGGAAAAATTGGGTACTTTGGAAAAGTAGTTATATCTAATGCGCAAACTGATAAGGATTATAAATATAGTTTTTTAAAAAATACACATCTTTTATTCATTAACAATACGAAATATTTTTTTTAAAAGATCGAACATTAAAAAAGGGACTCAATGGGGTTATTATAATTGGGAAGAAAATTATTTATCCTTAATACCATAATGAAATATTACGTTTTTTATGTAGAATAGATAGTTTTAAATAACATAATAACATATAAAAATAAAATTGTTTATTTAAATAAGAATATAAAATCTAGAGTTCCCGAAATGTAAACTTGGGAACAAGTTAAGTAAAATAGAAAACTCTTTAAATATATAATATATAAGAAAATATCCAACTTCATTTCTATAAAAAAAAAACCTTATGATTCATCTATATAAAACCGGGAATCCCCTTAAAACACATTTAACTACAGAATATGGTTAAAATGGTTGGATCTACATACTTTTCCACAGAGTTTACAATTAAATAGGCAACGTTTTATTATAATAACCAGTGAAATGAGTTAAGGACTAAGGCTAGTAGCACTCGTTCTGCACGGATCTCTCCAGGGCGAAGGTGTACTCCTCGGCCAGCTCGTCGACGGACATTTGGCGCGTGAGCAGCGCCAGGATGCTGTCCACCTGCATCTGGGTGCTGGCATAGCGGTCCTTGGTGGCCAATTCGGGCGCCAGCTCGAAGGGAATGTCCTGCAAGTAGTTGACGGGTCCGGGTACCTGGGCGCCGGGCAGCTTCGCCGGCGATCCCCTGGCGCCCGGCATGGGCGGGTAGGGCAGGTAGCCCGCCGGCGGCATGGGCGGGTACATGGGGCCCGGGGAGGCGAAGGGCAGGGCGGATGGCGGCGGAGCATCCGGTCCGGGCTTCCGCTCTATGAAGACGAAGTCATCGCCACTGGTCCCTGGCCGCGGCCCCTCCGCCGGACCCTGGATGGGCTGATCCTCCGTCGGCGTCTCGGCGGGCTTGCGCTTCCCAAAGATCGAGAACATGGCACTATTTAATATAATTCTATTTCTATTGCCTTTGTAAATTGGCAAATTGCGTCGTCGGCCAGCTGAGATGGGGCTTTGGCGGTTTTCTAGCCAAGTGCGTGAGTGACTATTTGAATTTTTATATTTGTGACCTTAGGAACCAGCCTACTTTTTTGTTATTACTATTTTAAATTTTAACTTGACTTTTATTGTATTACCTCTAATACTAGCTATATTAGCTTGAATGGTTTTTACTTTACCAAGTGCGTGAGTGACTATTTTGAATTTGTATAAGCTGTATTTATGATCTTAGGAACTGGCCTACTTTTTTGTTATTACTATTTTATATTTGAACTTGACTATTATTGTATTACCTCTAAATTAGGCTCTAATACTAGCTATATTAGCTTGAATGGTTTTTACTGGATTTTCTAGAATTGTATACTGAAACTGAAATTATTAAGTTGAGTTTTGGATTTTAGTACTCATTCTTTGAATAAATAAAATAAAAACTAGCTAGTTCTGGAGTGAAATGGCGTCAGCACTAGCTAGCCGTTAATGGACTGCCTATCGATAGGCATTCAGTGTGACCAGTGGTTCAGGGGATGCGCAGGGCTGCACAGTGAAAATACCATAAAAATACCGAATACCGTCGCCCGCCTCCGCCTCCAAAGAAAGTGAAGAGTTGCTTGCCGAGATTGATTGTGTACACCGGATACGAGGAGTACTCTACGAAAAAGATGTCTAAAGTGGACCAGGACCCGAACGCCTCGCTGAGCATCATGGAGGTGAGTGGAAGGCTCCCGTGAGCTCCTGCCTCCTGCTTCCTGCTCCCTGCTTCCTGTTCCAAATTTCCTATTGGCTGGAGATGCCACAAAGCACGCTAATCTGGAAATTCACTTTTCCCCATTCCCACAGCAAATCAAGCAGCTCATCCGCCCGCCGCCCAACGAGGACGAGAAGCTGGTCCAGCGGAGCACCAACACGAAGCATCCGTACTACAGGCGGCCGGGCAGAGGCCACAATCACGACTACTGCGACGCCTGCGAGGAGGGGGGCAATCTGCTGTGCTGCGACCGCTGCCCCTCCAGCTTCCACCTGCAGTGCCAGTGAGTATAGGTGGCTCTTGATCCCCTTAACCCCTTTTATCATCCTCTTATCCCGCAGTGATCCCCCCCTGAGCGAGGAGGACATCCCCAGTGGCCAGTGGCTGTGCCACAGCTGCCGCATGGCCAAGGTCTCCCAGCCGCCGGCCTCCTCCTCCTCCAAGGCGAGCTCCGTGGAGCGCGTGGATCGGGTTCCCTCTGCGGGCAGCGGTTCCCGCGGCAATACGCCCTCCTCCTCCGGCGATCTGGAGTCCATACCGCTGAAGATCCGCAACTTGCGCAAGCGCAGCAACAGCGAGCGCAACAGCACCGAGAAGCTGCTGGCCAAGATGCCGCTGGCCATACAGCGTGCCCTGGATCCGAACAAGAAGCCCACGCCGCTGGACGATGTCATTAGGGCGGCCAGCATGCTCAATCCGCAGCAGTTCTCGCTGCCGCCGGAGCTGGAGCTGCACACCCAGTTCCCGGGCAATGGCAAGGTGCAGCCCGTCCAGCAGTCGCAGCCGTCAAGTGGCGGGGGAGGCACTGGAAATGGCGGTGGAATTCGCAAATGCGCTGGCAATCAGCGACGCAACTCGAAGCCCTTCGAACTGGACGCCCAGGGACTGGTGCCGCTGCCCGCCAAGACCTGTTTCTACTGCACGCGCAGCTGCAAGCGGGCGCCGCTCATCTCGTGCGACTACTGCCCGCTGTACTACCACCAGGACTGCCTGGATCCGCCGCTAACAGCGCTGCCGGCGGGCCTCTGGATGTGCCCCAATCATGCCGAGAACTTTATAGTAAGTTTGCAAACCCTTTAGATGGGATATACAAAAGGTTTCTCCTTGCAGGACGCCAACATGACCAGCAGCATTTCGGCCACGGAGCGCGTGCGCCTGTGGAACCGCTTCCACCAGCCGCTGGACCACGAGAACGTCAAGCTGGAGTTCTTCCGGCGGGTCAACACCCGCCATCCGCCCTTCCGCACCAGGATTGCCCTGCGTCCGCGTGCCCACATCGAGGTGCCGGCCACGGTGCGCCACCACTACGAGCATCCGCCCGCTCTGCTGCCCTCGATGCGCCAGACGCTGCGCTACGATCGCGTGAAGCGGCGCAAGAATCTGCCCACCGCCGTGGAGGAGATATCCCGCGAGTCGGTCACCGAATCGCTGCTCAAGGATCTCGAGGCTCTGCGCTCGGCCCGCGCCAAGTTCCGCGAGATCCAGCGGGAGTACGGCAGCCTGGAGACGGCCGTCGAGGGCGACAGCGATAGCGATGAGTGCGAGAGTCTGAAGGTCCGCGAAAGCGACCAGGTGAATGGCCAGTTGGAAACGGAAACGGAGGAGCAGCAGCCGTCGGTGGTGAAGGTGGAATCCAAGGCCACTTTGGAGCTAGAGATGAGCTTCGAGGAGGACGAGGAGGACGGCGGCAAGGCGGGCATCATCGATGCGGACCTCTTTCACCTCGATGTGGACATAATCAAGAAGCTGGCGCACCAGCGACTGCAGCAGCTGGTCGCCGAGCATCCGGAGATAGTGAGGCAGTACAAGAATCGCACGGCTGCCCGGCGATTGCGTCAGTTGGCTGCTGCTCCAACTACCCAATCAACTGCCCTGCAGGATCATCTTTCGCCGGAGGACATGAGCCGCTTCTCGCTGCTCTTCACCAGCGAAACGTCCTCGATATTGGCGCAAAAGAACGGCAATGCCGCCGACGAGGATCCCGCCATGGCCCTGCATCCCGCTTTGGCCACCGCGGCGGCCATTGCAGCCGCAGATGCAGCTGCCGAAAGCTATGTGCCGCGCACGCGCAGCGATACGGAGAAGGCCTACGAGCTGGCCTCGCGCCTGGAGCTCAAGCTGCTCCAGTGCAAAGTGCAGGCAAGGGCTGTCATCACCCCGCTGGGCGATTTGCTCGAGGACAGCCGTTGGTTTAGTTCCCTAAGCCTCGACCATTCGATCTTCATGCGCTACCGCTCGCTGTACATCGGCTACGGCGGCCACTACTCCCCGTCGACGACGCTGAGTCAAATGGAGACTGTGGACCTCTCGGCCATCGGCTACTGCTGCCGCATCTCGCCGCAGCACGCCATCGTCTTCTACGACGAGTTCTCCAAGTCCTACGAGCTGATCAACTACTCGGAGTTCGGCACCGAGGTGAACGGGCAGCTCTACGCCTGCGACCTGGCCGACAGGATGCCCACGCACGCGGGCAAAAGGATGCGGCCCGACGACGCCGAGCTGAAGAGGCGCGTCGACGATCTGCTGGACAAAAGGCGGCACATCCAGCGGCAGTTCGAGCAGAAGCGGCCGGGCAAGGAGCGGTTTGTATTGTATTTTAGTTTAACATTTTAAGAGTATACAAAAAAAGTTTCAAGTCAATCTGACAAAAACTTTACAAGTTATGCTTCAATTAGTACCCTAACCTCTAAGACTTTGGGTACGTAAAGTGCATCTTTAAGCGCATTTTTCTCGAATCCGTGATCATCGCCACTTCTAAACGGCTCAACCGATGGTTTTCAAATTAGTCGCATATTTTTCTGATATTTTTTTAACTTTAAATAATTTTTTTTTAAGCCCAAAGTCAAATTTTTTAGGTGAAAAACGCATTTTTGATTTTAGACTATCGAAAAAAAATTCTTAAAAATAAAACATTAAAAAAAGGGCTTCATAGGGGGCGGGCTTTTTAAATTCTTAAGCAAAGTGTAAAAGTGATCACCGTAAAACGCCTTTTTTAATAGTGTTCCAGCAATCGCCTTGCCACCGATATATTAGCCGATAGTATCGGCTATAAAAATTAGTGGATGCTATTTAAATGGCACTTAAAAATATATTAAAGGTTTAAATTAAATCTATGCAACCAGTTTTTATAGAAAAAATCGCAAAGTTACTTGATTTTTTGATGCCAAATTAATATTAAACTAATGTATTTTTTTCTAATTCTTTATAGACTGGCTCCCATTGTGAAGCCCGCCTGCCGCTGCACGAACGGCGCACCCGTGCCCATGGTGGCCGGCGCCTGGGAGGGATCGGCGGTGCTGGCCCACGGCAGCCTGCTGCGCTTCGGCTGCCTGTCGTTTGTGTTCTCGGTGCCGTCGGCGGATCGGCGATCGTAGAGGAGATCCCTCCTCCTCCTCCTCCCTGGAAGTTAGTTTAAGGCAGCTAGCAGCTTAGGATTAAGATTAAGTTGAAGCATCATCATTGCCGCACTCACATAAATCCTCCCATTAATTGTACTTCTAATTGTATAAATAAAGTGAAATAAAATTGTAAGAATTAAGAGTGAATGTTTACTTTTTATAACCAAGGCATTCTAGAGAACGAGAAGAGTATACACAATAGAGGCGTAAGTACAATCGGTATTCGGTATGGCTAATAGGCAAAAAATATATATATATAAATCCTAGAGAGCTCCCGGCTGAGCCACATCCTGGACTCCAGCCTGGCTGGACTGACTGGACGCCTTGGCCGCCGAGCGCGTGGCCCGCGATCGCTCCCACTCCGCCTTGTGCTTGCGCTTCGTGTGGTGATACATGTTCGACTTGGACCGGAACTCCGTGGGACAGAAGGCGCAGGTGTGCAGCTTGACGCCCGTGTGGGTGGCAAAGTGCTCCTGTTTGGGATAGAGGTTAATAACTGGGAAAGATGGCATACTGAATTGAAAACCCACCTCCAAATAGCGCTTCATCTTGAAGCACTTGCCGCACACATCGCAGGCATATTTGGGCTTGCTCAGGCAGCGGTGATTCTGGCCGGGAAGCTCGCCGCAATTGAGACAGATGGCCGGGGAAACTGGAGCGACAGGGATAAGGGCAGACGTCTCCGCTGGCGGATGGCTAAAGAGCGTCGTCATCGTTGTTGCGCTACTCGTTCCTGCAAAGAGCTGATCCTGCTGCAGTCGCTGCTGCAGGCTATCGGTGGGCTGGCCAACCGGCGGAGGAGGATTACTAGCGGAAAGGGCGGCCACTGCCGCCGCCACCGCATTGTAGTTGGCCAGCATCAGCTCGTTCTCCTTGAGCCGCTTCTGCGGCGACTCCTCCTCCTCCGCGTCGCTGGCATCGCTGCCCTTCGTAGGCTGCACCTTCTTGGGCGAGTGCGTCTTGCGGCGACTGCTGCGGTTGGTCGGGGTCTTCGCCAGGCTCAGGTTGATGGCCACCTCGCCGGGCTCACTGTGGATGACGGACAGCGGTAGGGGAGCCACCTCCGTGGCCGCGTGACTCTGACCCGACTTGGCCGCATCCCGCTCCTCGCGCGCCTTTAGCCACTGGCTGGTGTGCTTGCCCTTCACATGGGTGTACATGTTCGAGCGGCAGCGGAAGGCCATCTCGCAGTAGGGACACGCAATGGGCCGGTCGCCCGTGTGCGTGGCTATGTGCTCCTCCAGGTAGCGGCGCATCTTGAAGGATTTCTCGCAGAACATGCAGGGGAACTTGTTGGCCGTCGTGGGCGTGACCACCTTGGGCTCCGGCTCCAGCTCCACGGGAGCCACCAGAGGCTCCTCCAGCAGCTCGGTGCCCTCCTCCGACCAGTTGACATCGCAATCGATGGCCAGGAACTGGCTGCACAGCGTCGTCTGCTTGAGCTCCACCAGCTTCCAGAAGTTGTGGAAGCTCTCCAGCTGCGAGCAGCACTCGGTGCAGATGCAGGTGGAGATGGCGTCGTCGCGGGAGAGCTGGCGGGGATTGGGATCGGATTAGATTAGATTCCAGGAGCGGAAGTGACAACTTACGCAGAGGTACAGGTGAATCGAGATCAGCTGGACCAGGTAGCTCTCCGGCAGCTCTCGCTTCGCCCCATCCTCCTCGTCCTCCGGCGGATGCTCCGCGGATGCACTTGCTCCGGCGGCGGCGGAGGAGGAGCCAGCTGACCCGCCGAACAGCACCACCGCGCTCTGCTCGTCCAGCGCGTTCAGACACAGGCGACAGATCATTTTATTCGCTTCTGTTCCGTTAAATCGAGTTTTACTCTATTCGTTTATTTTATTCCATTGGTTTGTGTTCCCCACGATCGCACGGTCACACTGGCCTAGCGATGGCACACCCACTCACCTATCGACTTCTTCCGTCTGTGCTACGTGACGTTAGCGCAAAGCTCACGTTACGTTACGCTGTGTGAAACGTAACAAAAACCGTTATTAAAGTCTAATTTAAAAAGGAAACTTGTAGACTTTGTAAACTTCCCACTCCATTGATTCGGTCCAAAAGCGAGTTATTTTTTTGAGGCAAATTGAGATTTGGGTTTTTGGTAAACATTTTAATTTTTTCTTTTGTTTTTTTTTTTGCTGTAACTTGGCCAAAAATTGCCCTACACCAAAAATCCATACTGTTTTGAACAGATAACAAAATTTGCTATAAATCCATAAAACTTTCCGTGTAATTTTGGAAAAATAAAATTTTCGCCAATTTTTAATTTTTTTGTAAGGGGGTACCCCACGATTTTCTGCGAAAAATTAAAAATGAATAAATTGTCAAGGTTTAAATGCCAATCGTTAGGAAATTTAATAACGAGTTCAGTAAGGTATGACAATCCATACTTTGAATCAGTATTTGCTTTGTTATAGCGAAAAAAACTGCAACGTTTTAGCGAAAAAACGGGTTTGGTTTTTTTTGGAAATTCGCGATTTAAGTTTTTGACAAAAATTGGAATTTTTTCTTTTGGTTTTTTTGCTGTAACTTGGCCAAAAATGGTCCTACACCAAAAATTCATACTGTTTTGAACAGATAACAAAATTTGTTATAAATCCATAAAACTTTCCGTGTAATTTTGGAAAAATAAAATTTTCGCCAATTTTTAATTTTTTTGTAAGGGGGTACCCCACGATTTTCTGCGAAAAATTAAAAATGAATAAATTGTCAAGGTTTAAATGCCAATCGTTAGGAAATTTAATAACGAGTTCAGTAAGGTATGACAATCCATACTTTGAATCAGTATTTGCTTTGTTATAGCGAAAAAACTGCAACGTTTTAGCGAAAAAACGGGTTTGGTTTTTTTTGGAAATTCGCGATTTAAGTTTTTGACAAAAATTGGAATTTTTCTTTTGGTTTTTTTGCTGTAACTTGGCCAAAAATGGTCCTACACCAAAAATTCATACTGTTTTGAACAGATAACAAAATTTGCTATAAATCCATAAAACTTTCCGTGTCATTTTGGAAAAATAAAATTTTCGCCAATTTTTAATTTTTTTATAAGGGGGTACCCCACGATTTTTTGCGAAAAATTAAAAATGAATAAATTGTCAAGGTTTAAATGCCAATCGTTAGGAAATTTAATAACGAGTTCAGTAAGGTATGACAATCCATACTTTGAATCAGTATTTGCTTTGTTATAGCGAAAAAACTGCAACGTTTTAGCGAAAAAACGGGTTTGGTTTTTTTTTGGAAATTCGCGATTTAAGTTTTTGACAAAAATTGGAATTTTTTCTTTTGGTTTTTTTGCTGTAACTTGGCCAAAAATGGTCCTACACCAAAAATTCATACTGTTTTGAACAGATAACAAAATTTGCTATAAATCCATAAAACTTTCCGTGTAATTTTGGAAAAATAAAATTTTCGCCAATTTTTAATTTTTTTATAAGGGGGTACCCCACGATTTTTTGCGAAAAATTAAAAATGAATAAATTGTCAAGGTTTAAATGCCAATCGTTAGGAAATTTAATAACGAGTTCAGTAAGGTATGACAATCCATACTTTGAATCAGTATTTGCTTTGTTATAGCGAAAAAACTGCAACGTTTTAGCGAAAAAACGGGTTTGGTTTTTTTTGGAAATTCGCGATTTAAGTTTTTGACAAAAATTGGAATTTTTTCTTTTGGTTTTTTTGCTGTAACTTGGCCAAAAATGGTCCTACACCAAAAATTCATACTGTTTTGAACAGATAACAAAATTTGCTATAAATCCATAAAACTTTCCGTGTAATTTTGGAAAAATAAAATTTTCGCCAATTTTTAATTTTTTTATAAGGGGGTACCCCACGATTTTTTGCGAAAAATTAAAAATGAATAAATTGTCAAGGTTTAAATGCCAATCGTTAGGAAATTTAATAACGAGTTCAGTAAGGTATGACAATCCATACTTTGAATCAGTATTTGCTTTGTTATAGCGAAAAAACTGCAACGTTTTAGCGAAAAAACGGGTTTGGTTTTTTTTTTGAAATTCGCGATTTAAGTTTTTGACAAAAATTGGAATTTTTTCTTTTGGTTTTTTTGCTGTAACTTGGCCAAAAATGGTCCTACACCAAAAATTCATACTGTTTTGAACAGATAACAAAATTTGCTATAAATCCATAAAACTTTCCGTGTAATTTTGGAAAAATAAAATTTTCGCCAATTTTTAATTTTTTTATAAGGGGGGTACCCCACGATTTTTTGCGAAAAATTAAAAATGAATAAATTGTCAAGGTTTAAATGCCAATCGTTAGGAAATTTAATAACGAGTTCAGTAAGGTATGACAATCCATACTTTGAATCAGTATTTGCTTTGTTATAGCGAAAAAACTGCAACGTTTTAGCGAAAAAACGGGTTTGGTTTTTTTTTGAAATTCGCGATTTAAGTTTTTGACAAAAATTGAATTTTTCTTTTGGTTTTTTTGCTGTAACTTGGCCAAAAATGGTCCTACACCAAAAATTCATACTGTTTTGAACAGATAACAAAATTTGCTATAAATCCATAAAACTTTCCGTGTAATTTTGGAAAAATAAAATTTTCGCCAATTTTTAATTTTTTTATAAGGGGGTACCCCACGATTTTTTGCGAAAAATTAAAAATGAATAAATTGTCAAGGTTTAAATGCCAATCGTTAGGAAATTTAATAACGAGTTCAGTAAGGTATGACAATCCATACTTTGAATCAGTATTTGCTTTGTTATAGCGAAAAAACTGCAACGTTTTAGCGAAAAAACGGGTTTGGTTTTTTTTGGAAATTCGCGATTTAAGTTTTTGACAAAAATTGGAATTTTTTCTTTTGGTTTTTTTGCTGTAACTTGGCCAAAAATGGTCCTACACCAAAAATTCATACTGTTTTGAACAGATAACAAAATTTGCTATAAATCCATAAAACTTTCCGTGTAATTTTGGAAAAATAAAATTTTCGCCAATTTTTAATTTTTTTATAAGGGGGTACCCCACGATTTTTTGCGAAAAATTAAAAATGAATAAATTGTCAAGGTTTAAATGCCAATCGTTAGGAAATTTAATAACGAGTTCAGTAAGGTATGACAATCCATACTTTGAATCAGTATTTGCTTTGTTATAGCGAAAAAACTGCAACGTTTTAGCGAAAAAACGGGTTTGGTTTTTTTTGGAAATTCGCGATTTAAGTTTTTGACAAAAATTGGAATTTTTTCTTTTGGTTTTTTTGCTGTAACTTGGCCAAAAATGGTCCTACACCAAAAATTCATACTGTTTTGAACAGATAACAAAATTTGCTATAAATCCATAAAACTTTCCGTGTAATTTTGGAAAAATAAAATTTTCGCCAATTTTTAATTTTTTTATAAGGGGGTACCCCACGATTTTTTGCGAAAAATTAAAAATGAATAAATTGTCAAGGTTTAAATGCCAATCGTTAGGAAATTTAATAACGAGTTCAGTAAGGTATGACAATCCATACTTTGAATCAGTATTTGCTTTGTTATAGCGAAAAAACTGCAACGTTTTAGCGAAAAAACGGGTTTGGTTTTTTTTGGAAATTCGCGATTTAAGTTTTTGACAAAAATTGGAATTTTTTCTTTTGGTTTTTTTGCTGTAACTTGGCCAAAAATGGTCCTACACCAAAAATTCATACTGTTTTGAACAGATAACAAAATTTGCTATAAATCCATAAAACTTTCCGTGTAATTTTGGAAAAATAAAATTTTCGCCAATTTTTAATTTTTTTATAAGGGGGTACCCCACGATTTTTTGCGAAAAATTAAAAATGAATAAATTGTCAAGGTTTAAATGCCAATCGTTAGGAAATTTAATAACGAGTTCAGTAAGGTATGACAATCCATACTTTGAATCAGTATTTGCTTTGTTATAGCGAAAAAACTGCAACGTTTTAGCGAAAAAACGGGTTTGGTTTTTTTGGAAATTCGCGATTTAAGTTTTTGACAAAAATTGGAATTTTTTCTTTTGGTTTTTTTGCTGTAACTTGGCCAAAAATGGTCCTACACCAAAAGTTCATACTGTTTTGAACAGATAACAAAATTTGCTATAAATCCATAAAACTTTCCGTGTAATTTTGGAAAAATAAAATTTTCGCCAATTTTTAATTTTTTTATAAGGGGGTACCCCACGATTTTTTGCGAAAAATTAAAAATGAATAAATTGTCAAGGTTTAAATGCCAATCGTTAGGAAATTTAATAACGAGTTCAGTAAGGTATGACAATCCATACTTTGAATCAGTATTTGCTTTGTTATAGCGAAAAAACTGCAACGTTTTAGCGAAAAAACGGGTTTGGTTTTTTTTTGGAAATTCGCGATTTAAGTTTTTGACAAAAATTGGAATTTTTTCTTTTGGTTTTTTTGCTGTAACTTGGCCAAAAATGGTCCTACACCAAAAATTCATACTGTTTTGAACAGATAACAAAATTTGCTATAAATCCATAAAACTTTCCGTGTAATTTTGGAAAAATAAAATTTTCGCCAATTTTTAATTTTTTTATAAGGGGGTACCCCACGATTTTTTGCGAAAAATTAAAAATGAATAAATTGTCAAGGTTAAAATGCCAATCGTTAGGAAATTTAATAACGAGTTCAGTAAGGTATGACAATCCATACTTTGAATCAGTATTTGCTTTGTTATAGCGAAAAAACTGCAACGTTTTAGCGAAAAAACGGGTTTGGTTTATTTTTTGGAAATTCGCGATTTAAGTTTTTGACAAAAATTGGAATTTTTCTTTTGGTTTTTTTGCTGTAACTTGGCCAAAAATGGTCCTACACCAAAAATTCATACTGTTTTGAACAGATAACAAAATTTGCTATAAATCCATAAAACTTTCCGTGTAATTTTGGAAAAATAAAATTTTCGCCAAT